AAGCAACTATGTGTTTTCTTTATACCAATTGATTCGTCTTATTATTTTATGCATAAAAGTATTAAGGTAAGATTCCCAAAAATTCAATGTTTTACAAGATATTTTGTTCCGTAATGAGAACAGTATGTATATATGCACTGGTTCGAAATAAAAAAACACTTTTTTATTGGTTATGAATGCTTGATAGCTGCCTTTATTATGTTATGGCTGGCTACGTGCGACCGACTGACTCGGCTCTTCTTCTTGCCGTGCGCGACGCGTGACGGAAACAAAACAGAGTGGCGCGCAGTGATACATGTAAACGCGGTAACTCAAGATAACTAGAAGTAATAATTAAAATAAAAAATGCATAATTAACTTAAATATCAAACATGCCGGCCGCCTTGAAAACACCGGTTTTCAATAGACTAAAAGAAACGAAACATAATCAATAACAACTGAAACTAAAATTACTGCGTTAAATACTAATGAACAGTCTCATTGTCCAAGGGAAGTGGACATAAACGCGTTGCAGGCCTCTTATAGGAACCCTTGCTGGTGATGACGGTGGCGGTGCGTACCACGCCGTCGGAACCGGGATGAACTTCCTTGATGCGTGCTAATGGCCAGCACAGAGGTGGTGTGTTGTCTTCTCGCAAAATTACCAATTGGCCTGGCCTTAGTGAAGTAGCTCCGTACTTCCATTTAGTGCGTTGTTGCAGCTCGTTCAGATAGTCGTTTGACCACCTTTTCCAGAAATGTTGTTGCAGCTGCTTGACTCTCTGCCATCTTGATAGGCGATTTTCATTTATATCCAATAGAGTTGGCTCCGACGGAGCTGTGAGGCTGTCTCCAATCAAAAAATGCGCAGGAGTGAGACATGAATTGTCATTGGGATCAGAGGATAAAGGGATAAGAGGACGCGAATTGAGTACTGATTCTACTTGTGCTAATAATGTTTCCATTTCGTCGACGTTCAAAGATGCGATTCCGGCCACCTTCTTTAGGTGAAGTTTCATGGCCTTGACGGCGGCCTCCCAAATGCCGCCAAAATGCGGAGCCAGCGGCGGATTAAAGTGCCATGTGATTTCAAGCTCAGATGAGAAGTCAGAGATTCTGTCTTGTTGTACGCTCTTGAGGAAGTCTCGATGTAACTCCTTCAATTCCCTAGCAGCGCCGACAAAATTTGTCCCATTATCCGTGTAGACATCTGATGATCTACCTCGTCTGGCGATGAACCTTTTAAAGGCGTTTAAGAAAGCCTCGGTTGACAGATCAAAGACTAGTTCCAGATGTATTGCCTTACAAGCCAAACATACAAACACAGCGACGTATGCCTTTGAGCTCTTAGAGTTGCGCTTCTTAGAATCTCGAATCATGAAAGGTCCCGCATAATCGATGCCGCAATGCATAAACGGACGAGAAGGTGAGACTCTAGGGGCTGGAAGAGGTGCCATGATTATTTGCTCAGACCTGGGAGCCGTTCTGAAGCACCTTACACAATTGCGAACGATTTGTTGAACGGCGCTTCGACCGGCAATCGGCCAGAATCGTTGACGCAGTGAGGATAAGGTTGCCTGAGGACCTGCATGGAGCAGTCTCTCATGTTCGTAAATGATTAGCATCTTTGTGAACGGGTACTTAGATGGCAACACAATCGGATGCTTGGCTGGATACGGAAGCGAGGAGTGCAACAGTCTACCTCCCACTCGAATAATATTGTCTTGATCTATGAAAGGTGCTAATCCGAATAGCTTGCTACTTCGGGGTATCGACTTATGATCTTGCAAGGCCTTCAACTCAACTGAAAAGAAGTACTCCTGGACTACTTTCGCGAGGCGCAATCTTGCATGATTCAATTCTGCTGCAGTCAAAGATCCGATGTTACGTTCCTTTTTTGGACTTCTTGTGTTGTTAATAAATCGGAGTACATAAGCCGTGGTGCGTAGCAACCGTTATATTGATGAGATATGGTAGAAAATGTTCCATTCCTTTGCTGTATTTGTGGTTATCAACGCAGATCTTCGCATTTCGGGGAGGTCGGTTGTCGGTATTGCTATGGCGTCGATATTCCAATGTTTGTGATCCCAATTGAGCCATGGTGGCCCATTCCACCAAAACTGCGATTGAAGCAATTGTGATGGCGGAATTCCTCGAGATATTATGTCCGCAGGATTTTCCTGAGTCTTTACGTGATTCCAAGAGGCTGTGTCAGTTAAATCTTGAATTTGACCCACACGGTTTGATACGAATATGCTCCATCGCTGCGCATCTGAACGTATCCATGCTAGGGTAATCATGGAGTCGGACCAATGATAGGTGCCGTCGATAGTGATAGGAATCGCTTCCTTTATGCGTTTTGTTAGCCGAGCAAGCAATTGTGCTGCGCATAGTTCTAATCTAGGAAGAGTCATGGTTTTAGCAGGTGCAACTCGAGATTTGGCGCATAACAAATTAGCTGTGTGATGGTCATCAAAGCTAGTCCTGATGTAAACGCATGCTCCATATGCCTCCATACTGGCATCGCAGAAGCCGTGTATTTCAATCGAGCGCGACCGGGCATCTTTGAGGACCCTTCTTGGAATTTTGAGCCCGCTCAGAATGCACAATTGAGATTCATAAGAACGCCATTTTGTTTGAATATCGATGGGCACCGATTCGTCCCAACCCATCTTAAGTTGCCAAAGGCGCTGCATGAGAATTTTGGCTGTTATGATAATAGGTCCGAGTAGTCCAAGAGGATCAAAAATACGTGCTATGTTTGCCAATATCGTTCTCTTTGTAATGATTTTGGATGGCGTCATTTGTTTGATCTCATATTGCAAGGTATCGCTGCCTGAATGCCACTGCAATCCTAGAGTCGACAGCTTTTCGTTGTTGTCCAGCTTTATAATTGAATCTGAAAAGACGTCCTGAAGATCGTGTAACAATGCCGGTGCGTTAGAAGCCCATTTGCGTAATCTGAAACTACAATTTCTTAATATAGCCGTTACTTCATCGCGAATCGTGAGCGCCTTGGCGATATCATCGGCGCCTGTAACGAGATCGTCTACGTAAAAGTCTGATAGAATTGTAAATGATCCTATTGGAAGTTCGTTTTGCTTTATATATGCGGCTTCTTGCAAGGCTCGAATTGCTAAGTAAGACGCAGACGCTGTGCCATACGTAACCGTATTGAGCTCATAAGTGACGAGATCATCTTGAGGATTCTCTCTCCAAAATATTCGTTGATAACATTGTTGGGATTCATGGACTAGCACTTGCCTATACATTTTCTCCACGTCCGCCGTTATAACAAATTGCCAAAGACGAAATCTCAAAACTATGTCCAACAAATCAGGCTGCAATACAGGCCCTACCATGAGAGCATCGTTCATTGAGATGCCGGTGGATGTTTTGCAAGAGGCGTCAAATACCACGCGTAGCTTCGTTGTCAAGCTTGTGCCCTTGAGCACTGGGTGGTGAGACAAATAATAGCCGGGCTGGCTTAGCTTAGAGTGTTCAACTCTCGTCATGTGGCCTAGTTGTTGATACTCTCTTAGAAATTGTACGTATTGTTTCCTCAGTGTAGGATCTCTCTGTAATTTTCGTTCCATTGCATGAAATCTTTTCAACGCTGTTGCCCTTGAATCTCCCAGTTGTTCAATCTTATCCATTCTGAAAGGAAGCCGTACGACGAACTGACCGTCAGCTGTCCTGTGTGTGGTTTTGACAAAGTACTCTTCGCAACTATTCTCCTCTCTCGTGAGTCTGGGTCTCTCATTGCATTCTTCACGTTCCCAAAACTTGGTTAAGCTTTCATAGAGTTCTTGATTTGTGATTAAATGACATAACGTGCGCTTCTCGTTGCGAAATTGTAATTGAGCGGTCGTTCCACCCAAAATCCAACCAAGAAGAGTCTTTTGCAGGACTGGATGCTCTATTGTGGCTTTGATTTGGCCGACACACAAAATGTCCCAAAAAACTTCAGCGCCCAACAGTAGGTCCACATCTGCTGAGACATGAAAATCTGAATCGGCGAGACGTAGGTTTGGCGGAATGTTAAAATTGTGCTCGCCAGCTGAAATCGAAGGAATAGGATCAGTTATTCGCTGTAATATTAAACAATTAATGTTTTTTTGATATTCATAAAATCTCGAACGAATTGATATTTTAATCATGTCTTTAACTTGGCTAATAATCTGGTTGACGTCCACCACAGGGACGCTAACGTTGTGCCGTGTGAGTCCCAGCTTTTTACTTAGATTCCTTGTCGCGAAATTCACTTCAGAGCCGGCATCTAATAAGACCCTGCATGTTGACCATTCGTTTTTATAATTTAAGACGCCAGACGACAGCTGTAGATAACCAAGTGTGCTTCTTAAGACTATCGCAAATCGGCGTGCCTGATGACAAAGATGAAGTGAGAGTTATCTTATTATTTGCAGGTTTGATAGCCGTGCTCCTTTCCTTGTCCGATGCCTCTCGAGTAGTCTCAGCGGCCACCAAATGCAGCAGGGTGTTGTGTTTCTTGTTGCACTTCTTGCATCCTCCCGAAGTACAATCTTTAGCTTGATGTGTCGTTGACCTGATGCAATTGAGGCATAATTTATTATTTTTGACCGAAGCTATGCGATCGGAAACTGCCATTTTTAAAAACGTTTCGCATGCGAATGCGAGATGCTCGCCGTGGCAAATGGGACACTCCTTTCTTTGCGTAGAGACATTTGATGAGACTCTAGAGTGTCGATCGTCGATCAACGTTGGCTGCAATAGCAGGTTGTGCCCTTTTTTGAATGACTTCGAGCGTGTGGCATCGTCTTTCCAGAAACTCTATTAAATTTTGCATAGTTGGGAATTCTGCTTCGGAAAGGCTGTTCTCCCATTCCTTGTTGGTGTTGGTGTCAAGTTTGCTTGTGATTATGTAGACTAATAAGTCTCCCCATTGATCGGTTGAGCGGCCTAATGCCCTTAATGCGCGTACGTGCTTTAGAACGCCGTCACAGAGAGCCCGTAGAGCCACATGACTTTCTTTGTGATGATAGCTAGCTCAAAAATTGCTTTAATATGTTTTGAATGATTAATCGTTTATTGTCATATCGAGCT